AGCAGAGAAGCAAGGCGACAAAGGGCCAAAAAATCCGCTCCTTGCATCGGCATGAGGATGTGCGGTCGGGTTTACGAGTTGTTCTTTTTGTGTACCCTAAACCCTAAACCGTCGGTGTGCTTGAAAAACGCCGTCAGCACGAGACGGAAGGCTTCGGGATCAAGTGAGAGTGACTTGGGAATGTTCGTGGCACCCTAATGGCGGGGTATTGATTAGAATAGGATTTTTTTGGGTGTATATTATACTATAATTCTATAGTATAATAAGGAACCACCAAAATGAATAGTATAGGTGATCATTAAGGCCCCTATATTAGATCTGCCATATCATTCCTTAACATAGGCCCCTGCCGCCATCTGAAGGGCCTTAATAATATTGGGATCGGGACGGGGGTCTTTGCAATCACTACTTGAGATGATGCCCTGCATAGGGGGAACTGAAGCAGCGCAAGTGTAAGATTCAGTTGTGTGTGTTCTCGTTTTGTTGCGACCGTTACCTCAAACCCTAAACCAGATGCCTAATCCGCTCGTTCTTTCATCAGGGCTCTCTCTCTCTCTCTCAGAACGTTCCGTCCAGGTCTACAGGTGCATTCCTCGACAAGAACGACCTGAAAGAGCGAGTGTGCATCGACGTGAACTTCCTGCCAGGGTTGCCTCAATTCGAGCCTTGTGCTGAGTATTCAGGCGGTGCGGGTAAAAACCACGAGAAGAACAAACCTAGAACCCAAATCCTAAACCCTGAACCCCAGACCCCAAGCCCTAAACCCCGAGCATGCCCGGACCCAAAACCCGAAACCCTAAACCCAAAACCCTAAACCACAAACCCAAAACCCTAAACCCAAAACCCAAAACCCAAAACCCAAAACCCTAAACTCAAAACCCTAAACCCAATAAATGCTATACAAAAACCGTACACCGGGGCCCCGACAGCAAAGAATGCGTCCCAAGCTGGAGCCATGGCGGCACTGAGGACGGCGACCTGCAGAGCTTCTGGGCTCCTCTAGGAGACTCGGGGGTGGCTTCTTTAATAGAGGGGTTAAGGTTTAGGGTTTAGGGTTTAGGGTTTAGGGTTTAGGGATTCATAGGTTTCATAAAGGACTTCCGCAGGTTTTAAGGGGGTTTGCTTCAGGTTTATAGGGGGCTTCATAGGTTTGATAAGTGTCGCATTATATAGGGAGAACTAGTGGTTGTATCCCCTTGTTGTCCCTTTACGATTATAGTGGAGTATTTAGGATCATTTGTGGTCACGGCCTCTGCCTACAAGACAGGTGTGAGACTCGACCACGTGTCACTGTTTCGCTTCCGACACAGGTCACGGGGTGCAGCTACGGTTGGCAAATCCAACAGTAACATCTCTAATCTCATCTGCACATCCGCATCAGTCGCTGGAGGTGGGTTGCGTTGATTTTGCCTATTTGCCTATTGCTTGCAGGTGCGTACGCAAAATGCACCTGCGGAAAAACCGCAATGAATGAAGACCCCGAGAACGAGCAACATCACCCACGAAAGGAAGTCATTGCATGGCACTGCGAAATAGGTTTCAGCGCGATTTGCAAAGATCCTGCAAAACAAACTGTATCCGACAACAAAAAGGTGCCTGTGCGATGCATTCAACAATAACAGGCCGGAAAACAAGTCAGCCGCATTTTTAGCGACAATATCAGCAGTGACATCAAGGGCAGCTAGAACAATATAATAAGCTGCAGCACTAATCATACTATGCATACTGGCTGTTTCCAGCCTCCAACGGATCAACAACACTAGTTACTGCAAGCCGGGGTCATCGAGAGCAACATCGGAATTACCTATAGAGTCAACTGTAGTTCCTTTATGGGGATACCTTACAAAATCCTTACTATATAATTGGTTAAACCAAAAAAGGAACTACAACGGAGACTATAGGTATACCTTCAGGGAAGGCAGAGCTCGCACCCAGAGTTGGCCTGGCTGGCCATGGCAAGCTTTGACAGCAGCAGCTACTTCGGAAGTGGGAGTTTCAGAAAATTATTAAATAGGGAAGCCTACTATAGAACCCCTAGAAAGTTGGATTCTAGTTGTAAAGACCCCTACACAGAATCTACCATCTTTTCTGAAACTCCTGTCTCAGCACCCAGACTCTGTCTTTGGAGTAGGGCCGACTGTGGCTCAAGTGCACCCTAACTATGCAGCGATGCAAGGAGAAGCGAAGCTGCAGCATCAGGACCTGTAGCACGGACGCAAGCAAGAGTGGTAACAATAATGATAAGGACACTCCACATATTGATCATGCTCATAAGCATCATAACACTAGTAGTCAGAAGGAGAACAGTAGGAATGACCTAGATAAAAGTAATGTTCGGCACAAGACGTGGAACCTGCACAACAGTAATACAGATGGTAACATCGCAATCACACTCAACCAAAATCCGCACACTCGCAGGAATGATACTGACATAATTTGCAGCAGTTTTCCACAACAGCTAGCAGCACACGAGCATTCCTAGGCAGATCCATTTACTGCTCCGTGGATGTCTGAAGCTGTGACGCAAAGCTAAGCCGTTCGGAGTGCAACTTGCGAGCCACACCTCAATTCGAAGTGAGCTACATGCTCTTTGGCAACCGAAGCTTAACAGTCGAACGAGAGTTGGGGACACCGAACCAGCCACGGACCCCTAATTCTCGCAGTGCAGGCGGCCACAAGGCCCACGAGAATCATTATAAGAGCGAGCGATGGCTTCAGCATATTACTGGCTCTTGCCTTCTCCAACACTGTGAGGTGGGGGGGCTTCTTAAAGTTACGGGATCCCTTAATTACTGAGGATTCCATATAAGGGTCCAATGCTTTCCGAAATCCGCACATAATACCTTTTGTTTCTTCGGCGTCTCGTGTGTCAATAACCCCGACGTGGAATCTGCCAGTACTGACGAGTAAAGTCACTTGTTCACTGCATCGCCCAAGCTTTTGGCACCACTCTTGTCGAAAGCCGTCTTGCCGACGTAGAGGAGAAGTGCCGCGGTGAAGAAAAGAAGGTAGGACAGGTCCGAAGTCGGCTCTTCCTCGTAGTACCTATAGTCTCCATTGTGGTTCCTTTTGGGGGATGCTTTATAAAATCCTTAATATATAATTGGTTAAGCCAAAAAACAGGAACTACAATGGAGACTATAGGTACTGCGGGGTCTTGAAGTCTGCTTCCATCCTTTGGGCAAAAGCAGGCTCCATGATCCTCGGTGCGTCTACAAGTAACCGTGGACAGAGGCAGATCTCTTTGTCACGTCTTCTGGGACTCCACTGACTTCCCCAGAGACTCCAAAACCCCTTATATAGTTAAGAAATATACCTTAAATCAGATTAAGGATCCTATTCTAATTCAAGGTATATTCCTTAATTAAGGGCTTTTGGAGTCTCTGGGTCGTATCTTTGGGAAGCATATCGACTCCATGCCGCCCACTAACGACTCTGTAGCCCCCTGGACCCATAATCAAGCCAGCATTGCTTTCAATCCCGCACGTTGTTTATCAGGGCATCATGGACTCAGACCCTAACCCAGAACCCTAGACCCGAGACCCTGGGCCCTCAACCCAGAACCCTAAACCCTACAAACCCTACAAAACCCTATAAACCCTAAACCCAATGAATCCTAAACCCCAAAGCCTAAACTAGACTGACTAATCAGGCCCAGATCATCATGGGTGCAAGCGCAGCTGGCAAGAGGATTTCTGCTCGTGGCACCTCCCGTGCGGCAGGCACGAAGGCCGTGCTGCGGCAAAGTGCCACCAATGCGGCGGCCACCAGAACGAGCGTCATCTTCGAACGAGCCATGGATGCACAGTATCTCCACAATGACCTTTTATGGCGATCCCCGGAAGCTGCAGGACTTACATATCATATCCTGCCTAAGTGGGCCTGTCCTACTCTTGCAGAGGCATGTGCGAAAACGATAATCTACAGTCCCGAGGCCAAAAGGAAGCATCGGTCGGCGGGGAGCTGCAGGGTTTAGGGCTCAGCATTGAGGGCTGTGCACACTGCAGAAGCTTTTCAACTCGTTGTCTCCATGCGCAGCAGCGCGTCCACGTGCGAATCCAAGTCCTCATGCGAGCCGATGGTTACATCTTGTAACAGGCTACAAAACTACTACAACGGTATCAGGGTGTCGTTCACTATATACCGAGCCAGGATTTATGATGTGTGTGTATATATATATATATATAAGTACATTATACATTCATAAAGACAGAACATGGAGGCTTCCGTATAGAGGCTTCAGACTGGAGTAGTGTCAATTGAGACGGGCATAGTTCTGGACGCCTTGGTGTTGCTGCAGCTGCTGCTGCTGCTGCTCCTGATGCTGCTGGTGTCGGTGTTGGCGTTGGTGTTGGGGTTGGTGGTGTTGTTGGTGTCGTTGTTGTTGTTGCTGTTGTTGTTGTTGCTGCTGCTGTACTTGGTTACGTACGGTTGTCTTTGTTGTCGGTGTTGCTACTGCTGTTCTGTAGCTGTCTGCATTTAATCTTCATGGCCACACACTCGCAGATTTTCCACTGGTCGACCATCAAAGTACTGCCTTTGATTTGGGATGTAGTAATAGACTCATCGGCCAGCACACCAAGGCATAGGGACAGCAGCTGTATAGGCAGCAGGATAAAAGCATGCCTCGTGACTGCTGGCAGCTAAGGGATTCGCATCTCTGAATTTCAAAAGCAGGCTCTGCTTCGCAATCATGCAATCCTGTGTACACCGATTCCTGAAGGATGCTTCGGTGAACCATTGCACCAAGACACTCCATCGAGGACACGGTCTGCATCGCCACGCTCATGACCGGATCGGACATCCTCTCAACAATCTCGGGAGTTCACTTTCGCGGGCCCATAATGTAGGGGCCTGAATAATTCGAATAGGGTTTTGGGGCCCATTATACTATAATTATGGAACCCCCACAATAGTATAGGTAATTAATTGAGGCCCTATATTAACATGGGGAGGCTCGTGATCTGAAGTGAGGGCCTCAGGGATGCAAAAGGCCCGTCCTTGACCATGGTGTACGGCTGGAGCACATAGTTCCGCACCTGTTTGCCAGCTCCGGCCAACTTCAACAACTGCCAACCCGACAACCTCATCCTATATAAAACCCTAAACCTTAAATCCTTAGCCCTAGGCCAAGAGCTTCAAGACTTCTTCCCTCTCCGAAGTCATGGACCGGGCCTAAATAAGTTCTAGTATATTTTAGCACATATATTCTAGCATAATACCGTCTAGCATAGCCTATTATTTTCATATTCTACTATATCATAGCGTGTTATTCTGTTAAACTCCGTTCTATCATGAACTGCCCTAAGAAGCTGGAAGGGCTTGCCGGCCATGAAACCATGTGCCTCATAAATGTAGTGAGGCCTCCAATTGTCAGGACACGATGGCACTATGACCACACGGAGAGCCTAGGCGATGAAGATAAGATATGGACTGAGATTGTCAGATTGCTCCGTTTTGCCTATACATGCATGGTTTAGCGTCTATATAGGGCTTATAGATCTTCAAGCGCCAAACACTACACTTGGGCACACCGCTGCAAACTTCTAAGGTTCTAGGGCCCAGGGAGTAAGACCTAGGGCCCCAACCACCCGAAATCACTGAAATCATATGACTCCCCCATCACTTCAACCCTAATTAAACCCTAAACCCTAAATGCCCTAAATCAGCAGCCTAAATCTTGAAAGCCCTAAATCCTAAACCCTAAAAGCCCTAAATCCTAAAAGCCCTAAATCCTAAACCCTATAAGCCCTAGATCCTTTCAACACTTCACCCCCGAACTGTTAAGCTAGGCCCTGGTAATGCAAAGCCCCGCCTGGGCTCCCCACCTGACGACAGCTTGGCTTGGGAACTGGCCCCATCATCTCATGTAGGGATATATATATATATATGTATATATATATATATGTTTATAGAGATCATGAGTCATAAGGTTTTAGTAGGAGTTTCAGGGTCTGCTATAGTTTTCTGTTCATGCAGCGGCCTTGATAATTAGAGTAGGGCCTTGAGCGTGTTACAACATAGCTACACAGGGACTACAAGGGGGGACATTGATATACTTGCAATATGCAGGCCCTGGCATTAGTTGGTTATACTTTCGGAGGCCATGCAACAAGAAGAGGTGGTCCCGAATATATCTGATCCCCTAAACCCTAAACCCTAAGTATAAGACCATTCCAAGCTAGGCCCTGGGTTGAGCAGGCTGGACATGTCTTGGGATTTAGAAGTGGGAGCTGGGCGGGCCGAAACTGTTTCCGGAGTCCAGGCTGCCGCTAGCCGAACTTAAAAGGAGTTCACAAGAACGGACAGAAACACACTAATGTAGGGGCCTAAATAATTACCTATATCATTTTGGGGGGTTCCTTATTATATCTATAGGGTATTTTGGGCTCACAAAACCATATTCTGCTTATTACGGTTCCTATACTAGACATGACCACGATGATCATCATGACCTGGAGGCAAGCTAGCTTTATTTCTCCTCTCCGAGCTTCGACCCTCACCCAGCTGACTTGGACCAGTAGACCTAAAGCCCAGAGAAGACCTAGTCTCTCGGATAGCTCCAACCCCCATACAGCGCGTGGATATCAACAAAGCCCGAACCAAAAAAACGACCGGCAAGCCTCATTGCACGACCTAAACGAGGAGCCCACCACGTACACCGGCCTCCACACACAAACTATGTTCTCTTGGAGCTGACTCAGACTCACAGGGCGTCTCAACTTAAAGTCGATTCAAGCAGGCACCTGAACAAATGGAGTTTCGGAGTCCTATAGAGTCTGCAGCCAAAACCGTCAAGAAGAGAATATGGGGGTTCCGAAAATAGGGGACCCTAATATAGTACCCTAGATAGTAGGACCCTGATTATAAGGTCCCCAAAATAAGGTACCCTAATTGAGAGAACTACCCGTATACAGCCGGGGCACTGGGCTGTGACGAGATCGCCGCGGATCTCACGGAGCTCCTCGACTCTCTGTTGCTCCTGGCGTGCTTGTTTTGGTGAGAGTCAGGGCGTATAAGGTGGGTACGGGGAGTGTATAGTTTGGGCTCGCGGAATATCGTTGCTGTTTTGGCGGAACCCCGATCGTCTAAATCTTGAAACCTGCTTCCTTAACACTGCACCCTGCCGAAGGCAAACTGCCCTGTCGTTTGCATATGGGGGGGGGTCGGAATATTTAGCATTGCAAGTCCCTCTAGTCCATTCAAAATCAGTCGACGTTCGTGTGTGCCAAACTCCGTTCGAATTATTCGGCACCTGTAGTAAGACACGGCTCTCGCCTTGATCAGCATGAGCTTTGCCGTCAGCTGCTTCATCGCCTGGTGAGTCGTGGAAACTATCCCTTACCCTAAGGGTCCAAGTGGTCCTTATTTATGGTTTTAGGTACCCAAAAAGGCCCCAAAGTCCTTAACTAATGGGTACTTGGACCCTTAGGGTTAATAAGACGATGGATCACATAGCATCACATCACGGCAGCAAAGCCACATGACCCTGGGCATGAGTGTAGACTCAATTCCGGTCGTCCTCCTTCCGACCCTCGAGAAACCCTAGATCTGGCATGGCTTTGGGACTTCCAGGCGAGCGGCCCAAATTTTGGGACTTTCATGGCTTCCATAAACCCTAAACCCTAAACCTTGTGTCAGACAGGAAGGCTGAAGCCCAAACCCCAATTCTCAACGCCCGCTGCCTTGGTCCGGTTTGACAGTTGGCTTCGCTCTTCTGTGCATCGCACCGCAATGCCAGTCCTTGAGGGACTTAGGGCTGCGGGTTGAAAGAGCCGACAAGGCTGAATGAGTACAGGATACCCATAGGCCCCATAGTAGTTCCTTTTTGTGGTTACTTTATAGGATTCTATATATGAACCCTAAAAAGGAACTACTTCAGGGCCTATGGGTAGACGTGAGGGAGTGTAGCATGCCTAGGACCGGCACGGAAGACTTTGAACAAGAGCATCCTTGCAACAAGGATCTGCTGCGTGGTCTTGGTGAAATGAATACATTATGTTGAACTGCTGAAGCACGTGCGAAGCAGAACAAACTACCCTAAACCCTAAACCCTAAACCCGACAGAAGTCTTGGTCAGAGCTCCCTTTCTGCATCTGGCCCTTCGGCCGGTGGTGTCACCCTGCAAGAGCCAGAGAGCCGTGGGGCTTTACAGAAATGTGACGGTACACCGATGGCTTGCCGAACGCATGACCATCGCAAACCCATTCGCAACGACAGATGGTCCGAGAACAGCTGACGTGTACCTCCCAAATATCAAAACCCTAAACCCCTAAACCCTAAACCCTAAACCCTGACAGAAATCCAAAGCCCACTCTAAAATTCACTAGCTGGGGTCGTGGCGGAACATGCGTCACGCGGACGCCTGGAGCCCAGCTAGAAAGATTCATGCAAGTGACACTGGTACTTACACTGATCTGGGGCCTTGAAATATGTGTGCAGCGTCTGAAGCCAAAAGAGCGGTCCGGAAGGTAACTGAAAGCTTTCGGTGGGTCACGCGGAGTCTACTACCTGTGTAACGGCAGAAGAACCTGACATGATAGCTTGTATAGCACAGAAACGACAAGGATAGTAATCAGGATGAGGACAAGCAGAATGCAAGATGAACATCCACCTGTTCGCCACTTCATGCCTGAAAGAAACACTCCACACAGCATATTCCCTGGCTGCTCCCGGCTAACACCATACTCCAACCTTGAATGCTTCAAAGACTCGCCTGTCTCCACCTTGTTGACGTTTTGGCCGCCCTTGCCGCCAGCTCCAAAAGTGTCCCACCTGGCTTCGGTACAGGTGTGTCACCCTAAACCCGGGACGGTCGCCAAGCTGCAAACTCTGACCGGCGATAGTACCAAAACGAAACACGTCTTCCTTCAGCGGTCAAGGGTGAGAAGACACAGCAGGAATACCAACTGAAGGTTCTCCTGCTGCTGACGAAGTCCACTAGCTCTTCTCTGATGACGCCGTTACCAGTCCGTCGCGTGCTCATACTTGACAACTTTCTCTTCACCGATCCATGCCCCTCAACGTCATGGTAGGCCAGCACGGGCTCCATACATGTAGCTTCGAACATCTTAGAACAAATAGCTTTACCTCAACCGTGGCCGGCGCGCGTCAGGTCTTTTGGGTCAATTTCCACGGCACTGACAGCATCTTCGGGGAGCACGGGAACCACCTGTTTGAGAGCTGGCGGTGGCAATTTAGGATTCAACGATCTCCACGGATGGATGAAGGTAGGAATGTGGCAAGCCATGGAAGGAAGGTTTCTGTTCAAGGGAGTAGATGCGTAGTTACTGATTCAGGACCGACAAACAGGCCAGACTGCATGAATAGTACGTGTCTCGGCAAAACCTCCTATGACCCGCTGGGTTTCCCGTTGTTCTCGCCTCTTCTATGCTCACCTACAGCAACCGGTCCAAAAGAAACACCGAAATCCGGTAGAACTCTGCAGGGCGGTGCAACCGCCCAGCAAGCCTCCACTCCAGCGAAAGTGGTTTGCCTCTTCCCGTTCCAGATACGGACCAGCCTCAGGAAGTAAAGTTCAGATCTTCCTTGCGAGGGAGTCCGGCTGTACGGCGTGTGTGTGTGTGTGTGTGCGATGGCTTAAGTTGAAGACGTGAACGTATGATGTCGGCGGCAAGCGAGTTTCAATTCGGCTGTCGTGCACACCTTCTGGTTCTGCGAAGTTAGCTATAGGATTGTTACATCTCACTTCTGAACTGTGATAACACCAAGAGGCAACCCAACCCACCAATCCAATAGCTCCGGCAACTTACATGGGAGTTTCCGAAAATAGGGGTACCTTATTTTGGGGGTCCTTATAATAAGGATTCTACTATTTAGATATTAGGGTCCCCTAATTTCGGAAACTCCCACATGCCATCAAAAACATGTCAAAGCTTTCTTGAGCCTTGCACGGCTAGAATGCAAAGAACCATTGTAGACGTTCGAAAGGCAACCGCGCGGGCTGACTTTCCGCAGCTTCACTTTCACCCGGCTCTACCCGTAACATGACCGATGTTCCTCTGCCACCCCTCAATGGCCACGTTAGGGACTGCGCCGGTGGGTCCCTGTCTCCCGTTGGAGCATCCCGAAGGCATATTCACCTGACTATTGCAAGCTTGTTCGAAGCCTGGGAAACGGGGGACATTTAGGCAACTTCGGGAAGAACTGCGGCTTGCCCAGGCGGATGGAGGCCCATCACATGCCCAGAGGGACAGGCAGCAACATAGCGAGAGAGCGAGCTTCGATAAATTATTTGCAGGCTTTTGTTCGCAGCCCTCAGCTTGTTCAGCGACCGCTTCAAGGCAGCCCTATTTAGCCGCAGATGTGTTGTAGTCTTGCCTAACCTAAATAGCTTCCTGGCGAAATGCCTTCCCCAACATAACCAGTCTATTAATTAATGAAACCCTAAACCCTAAACCCTAAAAACCCTAAACCGCTTTAATGCGAGGAGGAGGCGATTACAGAGCAACCCCTCAGTCGCCGCTAACGCACTGTGCAAGGGATGATACCTCTAGTCTCCATTGTAGTTCCTTTTTTGGTTTAACCAGTTTTACATTAAGGATTTTATAAGGTATCCCCCAAAAGGAACTACAATGGAGACTATAGGTAAAGCTCAAGGCCCTAAATCCTGTAAACCCCCGAACCCCGCAACTTCCCCGAGCTAACCAGAAACAACCCTAACCCCCCAGGTACCTACTATATAGGGTACTAGAGCCCCTAGGGCCCTATATAGTAGGCACCTGGGGGTTTAGGGCAAAACAAAACCCTAGACTCTACCCGAAAAGCCCCGACAAAATCCAGGCCGCGAAGAAGGCCCTAAAAGCGAAACCCCGGAGACTCTCACCTCTACACTCCACACCACCTCCCGCCACGGCATCCGCCAGAAAGGCTAAACCCCTAACACTCCTCAAAATCTAGACATCTCCTATATGGGTAGTTGTCAAAATTATGGTCCCTTTTGGGGTACTCTAAATATTAGGTGCCGTATTATANNATTTTGACAACCACCCATATATATAGTCTCCATTGTAGTTCCTTTTTGGGGATACAATGAAAAATCTTTGATATAGAATTGGTTAAACCAAAAAAAGGAACTACAATGGAGACTATAGGCTGTACTCAGGCCTGACACCTCGAAGTCCACACCTGGGCACAGCTTCGGAGGGAAGAGGGATGATGCCCAGAGACTCCAATACCCCTTAATTAAGGAATATACCTTAAATCTTCTTAGGGATCCTACTATAATTCAAGGTATATTCCTTAATTAAGGGGTATTGGAGTCTCTGGGTGCCTTGTAGGGCTTCCAAGGGCTTACCCATAGGCCCGATAGTAGTTCCTTTCTGGGGTTACCTTATAGGATTCTATATACGAACCCCAAAAAGGAACTACTTTAGGGCCTATGGGTAAGGCGTAAGCACTTCGAGCTTTAGGATTTGGGGGCGTTTCGGGGATTCGGGAGTGGGGAGTTCAGATCATGCATGGCTCTGTTCGAGAGCTTTGGAGCTAGTTAGACTCTGTGACTCTGGGGCAGACTTACACAGCTGGGAGATGTCAGAGTATGCATTGTTGGCTGAACGACACCCAAACCTAAACCCTAAACCCCAAACCCAAAAACCCTGCCCAACCAAACCCCGAAGCCTTCGAGCCAAAATCCCAGAAGCACCAAACCTCAAAACGTCAGAGTCGGTGTGTCTGGTAGGAACTCTGTGTCCACCAACGCATGGGGCCACTGGCATAGGCACAGAAACCAGAAGAAGAACCCTTGAAACCCTCGTTTCGCTCGGCCTTTCTGCTTCTCTAGGTTCCTGAGTGACCCCTTAATTATAAGGGTACCCTTTTCCCGTTATTCAGTTCAATAAGGGAAGCATACAATAGAAAGGGCAAAAGGGTACTACTCAGGAACCTAGTTATACTATAGTTATAATACGGAACCCCACAATAGTATAGGTAATTATTGAGGCCCCCATAGTTGAAGTGAGAGCCCTCAGGGATGCACTGGCATTCTTTCCCAAGCTGAGGTGTCCGCTTTTCAAGCCGATGGAGTCGCCCTCAGCGGCCTCGAGGCGTTTGCATCGCCATCCCTTCTGCTGGGCGTAGTTGCTGTACATCCGCCTTGGGGGGGTTTAGGGTTTAGGGGTTTAGGGTTTAGGCTTCCAGGGGAGATTTTGAGCTCAGCACGTAATAAAGGGATTACGTTAAGTACCTATAGTCTCCATTGCAGTTCCTTTTTGGGGATACCTTAAAAAACCTTAATATATAATTGGGTAACCCAAAAAAGGGAACTACAATGGAGACTATAGGTACTACTAAAACCTAACAGCTGGGACGGTCGCTGCAGAAGTGTAAAGCTGCCAAGATGTCAAGGTAGAAGTTGTCTAAGAAGATGCGACAGCAACAGGAGTCGTAGCGCTAGTCGCGGTCGCGGTCGAAGTCGTTGTTACCACCGTCAGTCGTCGCCGCCGTCATCGAAGCAAAAGTGAAGTAGCAGCAGAAGCAGTAGCAGTAGCAGTAGCAGTAGCAGTAGCAGTAGCAGTAGCAGTGGCAGTAGCAGTAGCAGTAGTAGCAGTAGCAGTAGCACCAGTAGTAGTAGTAGTAGTAGTAGTAGTAGTAGCAGTAGCAGC